TTGTATATCACTTTAGGAGCCCCTAGTATCGGAGTCCGAGGATGAGATAGCAGCCTCGGGAGATACCACTGAGCGGAAGCAGAGAAGTGGGAAAGTTTCGGTATGACAGAGCGTAGGGAACTACTTTCAGGAGCACGCCGGGAGCCGCAGCCTTTCACGTGGTCCGACTGCAAATGGATGCTCTATGTCCTTCCGGTAGGGCACCACTTACTTGTGATTCTTTGAGTCGTACGCAGTTGTAGTTGATAACTCTGTTGTTCTCAGTCTGACGGACATGATAGGAAGTTTCGTTTTAGATAATTGTGTTGTTGGTGATGTTGAAGATGGGAGAAGAGGCATACCAGGAGATGGGAGGATGGTCGCTTGGAGACCAAGAGGAAGACTATTACCAGGTCATAGATGATAAGGAACTAGGCACAGTAGATTCTCCAACGCCATCAATGAGCTTTGCTCGGATAGTGCATTTGCATTCGATCTAAAAATGAGATGTCTCGGCTATTGCAGCAACGAGGAGGGTCAATTAAAAGAATTAGACAGAAAAATAAACTCGTGGACTGCTAGCAGAGCCGGGCGAGCGCTTATTGGCTCATCGTAGAGGGTTTTGAAGGGCTGTTGAATGGTCGCTGACAGGTGCTCAATGTTGATCCTAAGGCCAAGCACGGAGAGATACGGAATGCGTACAGGAAGTTGGCAATGAAGTGGCATCCTGATAGAAATCCTAACTGTGAAAGCTGCCTTGCACGCTTCCAGTCTGTGGCGAAGGCCTATGAGACTTTGGGAGATCAGAACAAGAGGAAGGTTTATGATACTAATAGAGGTGACCTCAGATGGACGGATTAGAAAGAAGTTTGTTGAACGAAGTAAAGAAAGAAAATCATGGGAGAAAAACAAAACATCGTAATTCGATAGGGTATACATTGGAGTTTCACCCGCTCTACGTGGAGTGGCTTAGTACTCTGGGATAAACCCAATATTCGGGCTATGCAGTAGTCGTGAAATATATTTTGTATTAGTGTTGTTTTTCATATCACGGGTGAAACCCCATTGCACGTAATTTCATATAAAGTCAGTGAGCATCAGTGCCTCCTCTCCCTATTCCGAAGTGTCAGGTGGTTACGACTCCATACCAAGCGACTACTCTGCTCGGCTCACGAGTGAAAACTATCATAGCATCATGGACCACTCAGTTGACATTTGGATTGTCGAGGTAAGTGGAGGACGGTTTTGGAGGGGAAGTTTCGAAGTGTTTAGGTGTATTCGGACTTGGATGAATATTGTCATAGTATAGCGCCAGCCTGGGATGAGGTCTCAAGTGACCTCAAGGAGTACATCAAATTTGGGAGAATCAACTCCCATACTGATCGGGCGGTGAGTACTAGGTCGAAGTATGTCCGAATGATACGTACCGCTCTTCATTGAAGAAGGGGCGAAACCAACGAGGGGGCACTGAAGACATGTGAGGTTGTTGTATGTGTCAGTTGTTCAAGTCATTGCCGATAACTCCGAGGACAACTCCGACAATCTTCCTCTTCATGCCAGCCCATCCCGAGATCCCTCCTAGTTTGATGCCGATCGCTGAGATCAATCCAAGGACATTGAAGAGGTACTTTGCTGTTTAATTTCATGGCGCGCGGTACTGTTCTGCTAGGTGGATATTGCACGAGCTGCCAATAGTGTACCGGACGGTCACGTCTGTGGAAGCGGCGGAGAAGGAAGCAATGTTGAGCGGTGATGATTTTTTGCCACTGTCTGCTGGATTGACTGTGTTTTCAGATCACCCAATTATGGTAGTATACACGCGATCAAGCCATACCACTCCTTTGTTAAAAGCTATGATGTGAGGACGAGTTGTGGTCTTTGGTGGAAAACGGTACGAGCTTTTAGATACAAGTTTTCTCATGCAGTGAACTTCTTGGTTGTGAACAGCGATCAATTACTACCTCGTCGGAATGATATTGTAGCTAAATTATACTGTAGTAAAGGGTAGGGGTGATTTTCACATTCCAAACTTCCGCATGGAATTTCTGGATCGTCGCCTCTATCATAACGATTCGCACGATATCAAACGTAGTCAGTGTCGTCACGTATCATCCTAGAGGCGGTTGGTTTGGAACTGTTTTTCATTCCCTAATTTGCTCTTATTAGAGTTCACCATGATTGAGGCATGGCTTGTTAGATGATGGGCGTGAGGTGAGTACTCGGCAGTTGAGCACCAAGACGATCGAGGAAACGTTGTCGGAGATGCTGAGGGAAATACCGTTGGAAATAAACCAACTTAATGTTAAGCAACTATGTAGACCATCGAAGAGTGTCTCTGACTCGATGAAAGTGTAATAACGGGGCGTAACTTTCAATCTCGGCTTGGGGGGTGACGACAGTGAGTTCTCCTCAGCTGTTCATACAGCGTGTTAATTTAATAAGGGCCCACCCCCTGTAACTTTTCATTATGACCAAGTTGAACTTGTGACGGTTAGGTATTGCGTTCTTATGTCGTCTTCTGTGAGCAAGGAACGAGCAGATGAGTTAGTGACATCTTTGAGGAGGCAGAAGACGACATTCCATAAGTTCGATCCTTCTGATGTCGATATAGACATCCAGCTAGGCTGGGTTGGAGAGGAATGTGCGGAAAAATATGGTAGGATAGCTCTCCGAGTCGCGCGAAAGTTGGGAATCACTTTCATTGGGCTCAGGTGATTCTATCGTTCTCGAATACGAAACTCAGCGGTACGCCACACTGAAAGGTAATAACCATGAAATCGTCTAGTGAGAAATTGAATGCCAGATCCAGAGACGAGGGTTTCGCAGCTCTTCACTGATCTGGCTCTCGGCGATATATTGTTCAACCCATTGGAGGCACACATCGGGGAGTGTCTCGAAGACCCTAGGAGGTCCAGGCTTGATGCGGTCGTAAAGCTGGTCGCGACCAAGGAGGGAATGTGAGTGGATCCCAATGCCTCGGAAAATTACAGTTGCCAATTTCGTGTCGGAGTATACGTTCGTTTTCCTCAGCCGAGTTCGGGAGTTTCCTCACTAATCATAAGTGTTCACAAACATTCGGATAGGAGTATACAGAAATCAATAATGATTTCCCAGAATTTCCACAGAATTTCCATATTGTCACCAACTCACGTAGTTGATTACACGCATGTGTCACTGAACTCATCTTGCAAGACCAGATTGATATAGTGTTGATTTATTCCTCTCAAGTTGACGCTATTTTGCCTCGCCGTTGG